TCCGGCCATGAAAGCCTTCGACAATGCAAATATATTAGTTTACAGATTCTAAGGTGCACTTTTCTTGTTTTAGTAAAGGTAGGTAAAGGTAGTCCCCTGACATTAAGTCCAGTCATGTCTGACTCTGGGGTGTGGTGCTCATCTCCATTTCTAAGCCGAAGAGCCAGTGTTGTCCGTAGACACCTCCAAGGTCATGTGGCCGGCATGACTGCATGAAGCACTGTTACCTTCCCGCCGGAGCGGTACCTATTGATCTACTCACATTTGCATGTTTTCGAACTGCTAGGTTGGCAGAAGCTAGGGCTGACAGCGGAAGCTCACGCCGCTCCCCGGAATCGAACTTGCGACCTTTCGATCAACAAGCTCAGCAGCTCAGTGCTTTAACCCACTGCGCCACCGGGGGCTTTCTTGTTTTAGGAGTTCCAAAAACAGGATGTGTCTTAAAATTGATGGTGCCTTATATTTGTTGGGTTTTGGCTTTAAAAAAATTGGTTTACCTCTGAGAGAGGAAGAGGAGGAGGAGGAGACCACAGCCCCAACATCTCTGACAGCTCCCACTGTTTTGTCCTTAGCCAGATGGCTGTTTACTAGTCTGGCCGAGCTAAGCACCGCTTTCTGCTTTCTTTGCCTCTTCAATGGGCCCATAGAGATAGTAAAAAAAAGAAAAGAAAGACTAATGCAGATGAGATGACTTCCACGTTGGAAAAAAATGCAAGGTATTGTGCATGCAGATGAAATTCTAAAATAATATTCACAGAAACTCCCCCCACCCAAACTGAAGCTTCAAAAATGGAGTGTGCATTAGAGTACATCCTTATTACAATGTAAAAAGTGAGAGCATGCTATTTTTTTATTTCTGATGTTTCCCAAAACATTTGTGTAAACTGATAGGATATTAAAGGATTCATCTCTTTCTCGACTCTCACACACACGCACACATACACACAAACACACACAAATTGAATTATAATTGGAGTACTACTAATTTCCCAACCTCTCCCCCTTCAATTGCAGTGAAACAAGTGGCAATTAAATAGGAAAAATACAATCTCTCATCATGAATATTAATTAATTGCTCATGGCAATATCTGTAGCATTCCTAGTCTGGGACTGCCAGCTGTTAATTTGGGAAATCGTTCCATGCATATAAAGTAATGTTATGGAAATGACACGGACGATAAAGCAGGATTTGCAAACAAGGAAGATTTGCAAAAAGCAAAATGAACTGAACTGAGTATATGTGCAGACACACTGAGGAGGAGAGTACAATCGTCTCCTTGCTTGGGTTTTTTGGTGCCCACAAGGCTAGACTGCCCTTGATTTCTTTTCAATTACCAAATAATGGTAATTGTTTGGCCCTCCAGGTATTGTCAGACCACAACCTCCAGTAGCCCTTGCCAGCATGATCAATGAGGAGGAATGCTGGGAGCTGCAATTCAACAACATATGGAGAGACACACAACTTCCATTGCTGTTCTGCACAGCGTTTAGTCTCTGACTGCTTGGACTTTCTCTGATGTTATGACCTTCCTGGCAACACTGAAGCTAGTAAATCAACTTACATTAAGCAGAAAAAAGGCTGCATTGTTGAATTAATGCAGTTTGACACCACTGTAACTTCCATAGCTCAATACTATTGAATCCGGGTGAGGCACCAGCACTGCTTGGCAGAAAAGGCTATAAGACCCCCTAAAACTATGGTTCCCCTGATTCCATAACGTTGAGCCATGGTAGTTAAAGTGGGGTCAAGCGGCATTAATTCTATACTGTAGATGTCTCCTAAGGCAACGATATCAAGTGGTAAATATTGACAACAGAGGTGGGTACCCACTGTTGCTTCTAAAACCCCTTTCTTGAAGCAAAGGGAGGAAAGTGCTTTTAAACTGTTCTGTTACTCCTGGAAAACCCTTCCCCACAGCCAGGGCTGAAGGACGTTTCTGTTGCTAGTCCTGTTGACTTCTGAACATATGATGGATGAGGTGTCTTATCCTTTGCCTCATTTCAGCTTTGCATCAAATGATGCCGAAGAGTTGGCGTTGCCCATAGACACCTCCAGGGTCATGTGGTCAGTATGACTGCATAGAGCGCTGCTACCTTCCAGCCACATGACCTAGGAGGTGTCTACGGGCAACGCCAACTCTTCGGTTTAGAAATGGAGATGAGCACCATCCCCCAGGGTCGGACTTGACTAGACTTAATGTCAAGGGGAAACCTTTACCTTTTTATAACCACCTGGGATCAAAGTGGTATGCAAGGAAGTCCAGGAAACCTCCTTTTGCAATATCTTTACTTTCACTGGCATAACTAGAGTCTAGCCAGCCACCAGCAACAAATAAGGTTATGGCTGTAGTATTTTTAGACTAAACAACTCACTGAAACCTCTTGAGTATATGTAGCAGTTAAGTGAGAAGAGGAAAGGAACTGTTTACTGGTTAAAGAGCAGAAAGTGTAGTGACTGCATAAATGGACTGAACTGGAGTGCTCTCCCAGACTCTCTTAAATATCTTTGCATTGTCTTTGGGTGGGAATGCTCATTGTTGTCCAGACTAGTCACTTGGCCATGAAGACTGCTAATGGCCCATGACTACAGATGGGATCGGGATGGCAGCTGCTACCCTAACAGGCTATCTACATGATGTATTGTGTTCTACTGTTACTTATATTTGCTGCTTATTTTCATTTGATATATTTCTGGAGGCTCCCAAGTAATTTGTCTTGACAAAACCTAATGGGAAAACTGTTTGTACTGTGCGCTAAAAAAAAAAAACCAGTGCTAAAAAAAGTAGCAGCAAGAGCTCCAAATGAACACAAATTATGTGACAAGAACTACAGTAGAGTCTCACTTATCCAACATAAATGGGACAGCAGAACGTTGGATAAGTGAATATGTTGAATAATAAGGAGGGATTAAGGAAAAGCCTGTTAAACATCAAATTACATTATGATTTTACAAATTAAGCACCAAAACATCATGCTTTACCTCAAATCGACAGGAAAAGCAGTACAATACATGGCAACATTATGTAGTAATTACTGTATTTATGAATTTAGCACCAAAACACTGCAATATATTGAAACAGCAGTGGATCTGGGCAGGAGGCAGACTGCGTTGGATAATACATAATGTTGGATGAGCGAAGGTTGGATAAGCGAGACTCTACTGTAGATGCAACCAAGATAAATCATGCAAAGATCCATGTATTCTGAGTTTGTATGACCAGGCATCACCTCATGCCCTTTTACCTCCATCTTATTAACCACATAGGAAGTCTGGAGCAAGCTAAGAGTGCATCTCTACTCTAGGATCAATGCAATTTGACACTTTAAATGTCATGGCTCAATGCCATGGAATTGTGGGAGCTGTAGTTTGGTGAGGCACCACAATGCAGTGGCAGAGAAGGCTAAAGACCTTGCAAAACCACAACTCCCAGGACTCTGTAGCATTGAGCCTTGGCAATTAAATTGGTGTCAGGGTGCCAACCATTAAAAATATTCAGGAACAAAACTTTTTTGCTGCCTGAGGCAGAGCAGACAAATAATATATAACTGTGCATAGGAATTTGTCCATGTTTTTCACAAAATATAGTCCACCTCCCCCCCAACAGTCTGAGGGACTGTGAAGCAGCCCTCTGCTTTAAAAGTTTGCTCTAGGCATTTTGGACTTCAGCTCCCAGAAATCTCAGCCAGCTTCTCAACTGTTAAGAACTGTGGGACCTGAAGCCCAAAACACCTGGAGGGTCACTGAATTATTGAAAAGTGATCAATTTATCCTGAATATTCATCTGTTTCCAAGGTATTTGTGATTGCTTACATATGTAAATCTACTCAAAGAAAGCCCTTAGAGCAGTGGTTCCCAACCTTTTTTTGACCAGGGTCCTCTCTCCAACATTAGTACCAAAAGGGTTATGAATCAGTTTTTGGTCAATTGTGGATTCGGTTTGGTTATTTGGGGTGCCAATTCGGAAAATTGCATTGAATAGACCATATCAGCTCTAGTTTCTGATACAGAACATATGCCATCTAGTAGTTGGCATCTGCCTGCCCACAGAAAACCGTATTTAATAAGCCTAGGCACTATAAGAGGGTTTTGTGAGACCAGTCACTCTTGTTGCAGCAGTGAAGTAACTGTTTGGGCACAGACCATATTTTAGTTCTTGGAGACCACTGGTGGTCCATGGAACCACTGCCTTAAGAGTGAACAAGATGCCACTCACAACAACACACAGCCGGTTGTGGTTTGATTGTGCCATGACGTCACCGAGTCATTTCAGAGAATGTAGAGGCAATTGCAATGAATAACTACTTGCTTTCTCATGGAGTGCCAAAAATCACTGCAATAGGGAAAGGTTTTGGCGCTGTCAAAAGCATACATAAAGGAGTAGTTTTGGTGCAGCCTTACTTTCCTTGTATATAATTGTAAAAAAATGAATGTTTCCCTTTCAGGGGAAGTAGGGAGAAATGACTTGCCTGTTTAAGAATGTCAACCACAATCATTCCGAGATTATTATTATTTTCAACCCAAACAGCCTTGCAATTGCAGGAGATGGTCTTTTGGCTTTTCTATCTGCAAAAGACAGCGCTATTGTTGCCAGCTTTTATTACTTGGAAGGTTCCCTAGTTTGGTGCCATCCCATTCTGCCTTTGGAAAAGGGGGGACTAATTGACTTGCTGAGCCTTCTGAGAAAAATTAGTCAATGCAAATAGCTTTTTGAAAGCTTTTGCAGCGGGATGAATTTGAGAGAGGAATGAAGCGCCTCTCTCAGGCAGGCAGTATTGAATAGGCAAGCTGAGCTGTTTGACACAGATGTTGCTAAACAAAAACGCACCGCTTCATTCTCATGTTCGCTGCTGAAGGCTGACACAGGAACCTTACAAAACCCAGGGCACCTCCGTATGGATTGTTTTGCGGGGCAAGAATAGTTCCAATTGTTAGCTGCTCCAGAAAATATGAACACACTCTGACAGAGAGGAAACCACCACAATGAGAGGAAGAAAAGGGAGAGGTTTATAATTTTATTGAAAATAAACTTTTCATGGACTACACAGGCACAATTATGGCTCATTCTCTCAGCCATAAGCGACAGCACAAATCACCGTTAACATTGGGTATATTTTGTTTTTGTAAAAAGAGGAAAACTTTGAAAAGTGGGAAACATAGTCATCACACAATCACTTAAATAAAACAGACAAGCATCACAGTGCAAAAAACCTTAAATCAGATAGGTTCAGTTTATGCTGTGGTTATTCTGCACCTCTGATTAATTCTTTCTGTTAAAAATAAATTAAAAATGCGGCTTTTTGAAAACCTAGCTTTCCCTTCAATGGGATTTAGGCAGATGTGCACATCTCTCTCTCTCTCATACACACACACTCACACATTTCAGTTTATGCGCATCCTTATGTGCACTATTACTTTGAAAAAGGCCAAACCATGCTAAAATCAATGGGAAGACTCATGTGAAGCCCTTTGTGTAGGACACGGTAACTCAACACTAAGACCTTCTTCTCTTCCCCAGCTGGTGCCTTCCAGATGTGTTGGATACCTCCTCTCTTTCCCAGTTAGCAGGACCATTGGGAAAGGCTGCATTAAAGGATCAGGCAGGTCAAAACATTAAAACCACACAATATTGAGAAGAGGCTTCCCAGGTAATACTTTGTGAAATACAATTGTAACCCATCTGAAAAAGAAACAAGACCCATGGCCAAAACACTTCTGACATCAAGATAAACATGGGTCGACAGGGCACATAATAAGTTGAATGTCAGCTCACTGGTCTTGAAACCTCAGGTAGACAAGCAAGACAAGCAAGGCAGAAGTGGCGATTCTCAGCGGTCGATCAGGACCTGAGTTGCTGTAAAATCTGAATCACTTTCGGTAAAATTGAAGGAGGCACTGATATATACGTAGATAAAATGTATTGTTTTGAGGAACACAGTAGGCTTAGGTAATTGCACTAAGACTCAGCGATGACAGCTATGTTACTGGGTGAAAATAGCTGAATTCCATCATTGGAGATGTTTTTTAGCCTTTGGAGGGCCCCCCTCTGTAGCGAACATGAGTAATAAATATATATCTAAGGTATATCAAAACTGTTTGACCAGCAGCACCCATAAATGTAGCCGATCTTTAGTTATTAATTCCTTTCCTGCCATGTTTTTGTAGGCAAATCTTCTTAAGGGACATTGCAAGGTGATCAGGCAATGTTGCTCTAGAACTGACTATAAAAAAGTGCCTAGTTTTAGGACAACAGGATTGTCTTATGATAATTATTTAAAAATAAAATTATTATCTGGCAAAGTTGCTGCTCTGAGGAATGCTTGAAGAACCCATCCTTTCTTAAATTTGACACCAATTTTGCTTACCTGGATGTTAATGTTGTCTTTCACCAGTTTTCCACACTACCTAAATGTTCCAGAAATGTTTGTGTGAGGGAACACTGAGAGAAACTGAGGTTAGATGAGCTCTGACCAGTAGCTGGCAGAACTTCTTGGAAACATACTGTGGACAATTTGATTGATCACAGTGTTCATTTATAATTGGAACAAAATAACCTTTCAAAGCTGGTGCTATGTCATGGGGTGGGGACAGGATTATCAATATGAAAACTAACCAAAGAGTGGAATCTACAACTCTGGAGAGGGCACTTGTCTTCTGGATTCTGTTCCTCTTAGACCAAATCAAGTATTAAGACATTTGAATATGTCATGTGTCAAAAATGGGCCAGAAAAATATGGCAGGGGTTGTCAGTTCTTCAAGCTGACATGTTTTGATGTTGGGAGTTAATTATACCACTTGAGTTATCTAATCCCATATAACTGAGATATTCCTAGGACAGATGCGGACAGCTTAGCTGAAATTACTCTAGGTTTAAAGCCTTCAAGCATGCTGGTACCATATTGAAATAGCTACTGGACGTTTTGAAGTCCTTCTCTAGTGATAGTGTGAGAATATCCATCTTCAGTCATTTCTGAAATAGATATTATGCAAAAGTGGCAAAGAAGATGACAGAACTGGTCAGCATCATGAACATGACAAGGGATCTGGTATATTGTTAGTTCTGGCATGCTTTTTCTTATATCTGCCAATTGGATGTATACCATTGCTGTGAAAAGATGCTTAAAGTTGTCAGCTGCTCTGAAGTAACCATGAAAAGATGTGGATGGAGCACAGTAACAGTGGAATTACAGCCAGGAAACAAGAACAGTGTGATAAAAGACCAAGATTTTGTACCTCAAGATTGTACTCCTGTAGAGCTTAGTTGGGGGATTTTTAAAACAACCTTATATAAAGACTTCCTCTATGTAAATAACTGCCAACTCAATGATGAGGCCTTGGACCTTGAAGTTCAACAGTGGAAATTGTTGTAACGAGGAGTGAAATGCACGCACACTCACTGAAAACAACAAGGGTACATGGACAATGTTTACACTTAATGAAATCGGTAGCTATGTGACACCAGAGAGGTTCTCATTGCATTGGGTGCATACACTTTTGTTAGTTTTCATTTGATGAAGGTTTTCAATATGTAAGCGCTACCAGCAGTAGTGGTAATTAATGATTACAAATATAGCTACTAGTGGCAGAGGAGTAATAGTGGCTCTGTGTTATCTCAGTAGCTGTAAGCAATATAAATTATGAAAACTGTCACCTGAGCTCCACAACTGCCTTCAGCTGTTAATGGTCTGGTTATGTAAGCACTCCTGTTGGTTACTGAATACTGGTGCAACCATCAAAATGTTTGGGACATGAGGTCAACAGCTGACAACAGAGTAAATATTTGTAAACTAGTCAGTGGTGGCTGCTCTGAAGTGCTGGTGGGGTTTCCAGCAAAGATTTTTCATGGGATTATTAGGCAGAGGAGCAAGTAGCAGCTTTAGTAAAGGACAGAAGGAATAATGCCTGACTGGCTCTCTTGCCATATCATCTCCTGTGATCTAGATCATTTGGAGCAACTGGGATATGAGTTGGTGACCCATGGTTGAAACAACAGTGCCGATATCAGTCACCTGTGTGGAGGGGCAAGGGCATTTTCTTCCACAGAGGGAACTGGAAAGAAGATAAAAGAGGACCTCAACTGTGTTTTTTGCTTTGTGGATCTTTCTTTTACTCAGTTCAGGGAGAACCTCCCTCCTCCCAGGTTTTGTGAAAAATGAAACAACAACAGAGAGACATTTGGCATGCAGAATTGGTCTGAACATTCCATTAGATGAGCTCCAGCCGATTTCAACACACATTTTTACAGAGATTTATTTTCTTTTCCCCCTCAAACAGGTAAATTAGAATCCTGGAATTAATACCAGATTGAATACTGGTCTGTATGAGGCTAAAACAAATCAGGACACAAGAGACACTTACTATTTATAAGCCCAGTTCACCTGAGGCCTTCTCTTTTCACATTGTACAGTACAAAGAAGCAGTATTTTATACAGGCATCGGAATAATGACTATTCCATTACTCTTTTTAAACAAGCACATAAGTGAAGTTGACTGTTCTGAAAGCAGTTACAAGAGTGGGTTAATTTCACAGCCTTATTGCAAATGTGAAAAAAAGAGCATGAAAAATTCGAAGTATGAATCTTTACTCAGAGATTTACCAACAGGGAAAAGCACAGTGCAACTGAGAGCATAATACCGGGGAGAAAGCTAGGGTCTCCTTGGGATGCCCAAGAAAATGGGGTGCATTTGGCCATAAGTAAATGGCAGCCCACCATTTAGTACAAATCAACCCATGCCTGACATGATGATGATGTGCCTTTGCACATTAGTGCATACAGCTGGCAAGGAAGCACAGGCCGTAGCAATGTCACAGCATGAGGATGAGCTCTTCTTGGCACTAATGTTGCAGAGTAAGGAGGCATCACTACCAGTTGCAGCTGCGTTCTTTGCAGGTTCTACCCTTCAGTTAGAGTTTGCCAAGTTTTCAGGTCAAGAGGTACAACCTGCTTCCCCATCCCAGGTAGGATCTATGTGTTACAGGTGAGGTAGAAACCAACTGCAGTTACTCTGTCAAGGCAAAGAGTTTTTGATGCGTTATTCCAGGAGATGAACCATAACTTGTCATTGTGCATAACAGGACAGCCCCTCACGGATGAAAGTAGCCCTGGTATACATTTGGAGGCATCATGTAGTGTTCCTCTCAGAGGGAGAAGCAAAAAAAACAGCTGGGTTGTTGTAGGTTTTTCGGGCTATATGGTCATGTTCTAGAAGCATTCTCTCCTGATGTTTCGCCTGCATCTCCTCTGAGGATGCCTGCCATAGATGCAGGCAAAATGTTAGGAGAGAATGTTTCTAGAACATGGCCACATAGCCCGAAAAATTTATAACAACCCAGTGATTCCAGCCATGGAAGCCTTTGACAATACAAAAAAAAGCTATTCTCCATCTGTGCTTTCCCCATGTCCCTGAGATTAAAAAAAAAAAAAAACCCCATAGCTTGTTGGTTATCTGCATGAGGACTACAGGGGCTTTGCTCAAATCAGGTTTGTCCTGCAGAAGACTTGTTGAGTCTGAAATGCAGTCATGTAAACATCAATCCTCAACATACTGAACCCCTGTTCTCCTCCCGGAAACTACAGAACGGTCACCACTCACATTGTACGTACACAACAGAAAACAGAACTGACTCTCTGCCCTTTAATCTATGTATCAGCACAGGGAACCCTATGACCTTTATTATTGTACCAAAAACAGGGAGAGGGGGATAAAAATATATATCTATATATATATATTAAACCACTATTTAAGTACATACCCTATTCATAAATAAATGGAAACTTTTTGCTATTGCAAAATTGCTCATTTGAGATCTTCAAATCACATCATTATTGTGACAAGAAAAAAGGAGGAAGGAAATTTCCATGTTGAATCAAAATGTGTGGGAAACAACACAAAAATTTGGGTTGGGGGCATGATACAGAGTTTCTGGTTTTTGAGTGCTGGGCAAGGCCACTGGACCAGTTTTCTCTCAGTCTCCTCTTCTTCTTCCTCTTCCAACAAGAATTAGAGGCCACGTGCAGCTTCTGTAAGATTATGCCCACAGTGGAAGAAAGACAAGTTCTTGGTTGCAGGTGGCAAAATTGGAAGGCCATTCTTTGGATTTGGCAACATTTCCATTCACCGGCTGCGGGGAATTCTGGAAGATGGTGCATGGTGCGTTTCTTCTATGTCTGAACACACTTTTCTCTCCTATAAATAGAAACCCACGTTTCCACACAGGACATGCAAAGTAGTGCAACGATTCCATGACTATACATCTGTCTGCCTTTGGAAAGGCAGAGCTGGGCACCTCGGTTCTACGAAACCTTGCTGCAGCGAGTGCAGGGGCCCCTCTCCTGCTGCTTCTCCCCTCATCTCCCATCCACAGGAAGGAGCAATTACAAGGTCCGGACAGCAACGGGGTAAAGGAGTGACAAATGTTCAGCTCCTTTAATCGGGAGTTTTTTTGCCGTGTAGTAGTGGATCACTTCTGGCACACTGTCAAACGGAGGACTATTTTGGCCCAAAATGTATTTCTCTTTGGTTTTTGTCAGCTTCATGTGCATAAAACCTTGGTTGCTCCTGTAGAAGGAAAGGAAGGAAAAGAATTAAGAAAATGATATAAGCTGGCAACCTGTTGGTTAGAGCAGATTAATTTTAAATATTGTTGAATAATGAGTGAATAATGTAGGCAAATCCCTCCACTTTAATGGTGTACTATAATGAAGACCAACCACAGAGTTTAGGCTGCAATGTGTACATCATGATGTGGTTTAAATACGAGGGTTGAATGAAAATTAAAGCCTCCACCTTTGTTATTTTGGTTTGGATGGGAATATTTTAATAAATCAAACACAGAAATAATCCTTAGAATGTGCTTTTTAACTACCACTATTCACTTTTCGACATAATCACCAGACAATTGGATACATTTCTGCCAACGATGACCAAGTTTTCTGAAGCCATCATGGAAGAAGTTGACACCCTGTTTCCGCACTCTATTGTGCACAGATCTTCCAGTAGCCAAACAAAGCAATAATGTGACCCACACGTTCTTGTGAAATGCCGATTATGCTTGAAATTTCTCTCTGAGTGATACAACGATCGTCCTGAATCAATCTGTCAACATTTTGCTTGTGAAATTCAGTAGTTGCTTTCACAGGACGTCCAACTCTTTGTCACACAAGTCACACAAGTCAGATGTTCCCACCTCAAAATCTTTAAACTTACTTGCCTAACAACTCACAGTAGGCCTGGGTAACAACGGAAAAATTTGTTTCTAAAATCGATTTGTATTGGGGTTTTTTTTTGTTTCGATATTTAAAATAATTACAAAATTTTCCTTAAAAAGTTGGTATTTACGAAATTTCGTTAATATTTACAAAACGTTTTGTAAAGATGGCGCCCTTTTTTCAATATTTTTTCAATATTTTTTAAATTTAATTATTAATTTTTAATCTGGGATAAACTGAACACCTGGGATCAGATCCTGGGATATAAGTTCTGCCTGGAAGGGCCCTGTGATAATCCAATCAACTCTGGGGTTTTTTTTGTTTTTGTACATCCCCCTGCCATTGGTATTCTGGATCATGTAGTTGTGCAGATTGCCCTAAACCTCCCTCTCCACTGCCATATACTCACGGGGAGTGGGTGGCTGGGAGTGGAGTGAGGAGGTCGGTGGGAGAGGTCGCCCCCGGCTGCTCTTGCCCCGCCCCCATGGATGCCCCTTCCTGCCGCCGCTGCCCAGTCACTCCAAGCTTGAGATGGAGCCGGGGGCAGGGACAGCTCAGCTGGCCACCACCCCACCAGTCTCCCTGATAACCGGGCCTGCCGCTCCTCCTCCTCTTCCTCCCCCCTCGCCCTCGGCATCTCCGAGCGGCGCGGCCTGAGGAGGAGGAGGAAGAGAAAGGGTCGGAGGATTGGGGGGGGGGAGGAACGGAAGGCCCCATGACCAGGGAGACTGGCGGGGTGGTGGCCAGCTGAGCTGTCCCCGCCCCTGGCTCCCTGTCAAGCCTGGAGTGACGGGGGGCGCCGGCAGTGGAAGGGGCCATCCACAGGGGCGGGGCAAGAGCAGCCAGGGCAAGAGCAGCAGGCTGCGCCGCTCGGTGGGGGCGGGGAGGAAGAGGGACCCTGCTGCTGCTGCTGGAGGCGGAGAAGGAGGAGGATGGGAGGAGGAGGAGCAGCAGGCTTACCACCAGCAGCAGGGTCCCTCTGGCCTCTGATAGCTTCCCGCGTCCCTCGCTCTCGGCGCCCCTGGCAAAATAAAGTGTTCTGCAACGGCTTACTTGCTAGTTGCTTCGCGTAATGGTTGAGCCGCCCCTGAGCCCGCCCAATCAGGAGAACCCACAGGGCAATCAGCTCTGTGGGTTCTTCTGATTGGCTCCCGGAGCTCCCAGCAAGCATCTAGCCATCTTACGTATTTCCGAAATGGACGGAAATACAAAAATATTTGGCGCATGCTGTTTCGATATTTAAAAACACTTCCGGGTTTAAAAATAAGTTTTGTAATCGTTTTGTAATTGCTAAAATTAACGAATATTTAATGAATTACAAAATTAACGAACGAAACCGCCCAGGCCTAACTCACAGTACTCACATCAACACAATCGCCATAAACAGCTTGCACTCTCTGATGAATCTCCTTTGGGGTGACATCTTCTGCTGTCAATAATTCAATGACTGCGCGTTGCTTAAGTCAACTGTCTGTGCAGGGTTCCATACTTCGCAATTTAACAACACAACCATTCAATGCTAAGGTTTCCTGCCAAAATGGAACTGTAGAGGAGAGTCTACTGAATAAGCCAGTACCTGCCGCATACCCCTACTGCCATCTGTTGAGGAGTTATGAAGGTGGAGGCATTCCTTTTCATTCAATGCTCGTACTATTCTTAGTCCAGACCCAAAAAAATTCAGGGGTATAAAATACCCTGAAGGGGCCAGATACCATCTGATTCTGGCACATGTTCTGTATCAGAAACAGATGTGGTCTATCCAATGCAATTTTCTGAATCGGCACCCCAAAAAATCAAACTGAATCTAAAGTTGTCCAAAAACTGATTTGTAACCCTTTTGGTACTAATGTTGGAGAGTGGTCCCTGGTCAAAAAAAGGTTGGGGAACCACTGCCATAAGTCAACAAGTGACTTGAAGGCATATACACTCAGGCCTGTAAAACATCAACTAAATATCCACTAGCAAATCAAATCCATGTTTTGAGAAATCTTTTAGGGACTTTAACAACAGCTGTAGGAGTGAAAAATCAGATTTAACTGCTGAAAAAGTAAATTGACAGAAAAGTAAGAATTCTGTCAAATCCCCATTTCACTAGATTTACCAGATCAAAGAACTAGCCAACCACACAAACCTTCAGAGAAAAGCAACATGCATTGTTTTATTCCTCCATAGTGATCAAATATGAGAACACTGCATTCAGTGGAATAAAATGAAAATTTAATTGCAGCTACTGAGGTGAATGTACATTCCAAATGATCAGAAATTTCAGAAAGAGGGTTAGAGACAGAAAAGACTCCATTGTTTTTAGAAATGTGGATGTGACAGAGGGCACAGCAAGCAATTATTTGCCAACTTTTAAGACTCTGTGTGGGTGGTGTGACTTCACATGTAATATGAATGAGAATGGTCTTATAATTATACAAAGTACAGTTTGGCCATTAAAAGAAATCTCATATCTACCTTGACTTAAATCCAACTCCTAATCCTGGGGTGCTTTGAATGCGATTTTCCTGCTTTTTGGCAGGGAGTTGGACTGGATGGTCTACGAGGACTCTTCCAACTCTGTGATTCTATGATTCTAATCCAACTGGAGTATATCCATTGATTCAATGAGATTTATGCAAGTTTTGATTTACTAACTGATTCCATCAGTCTTTTGCACTCTGGACTGGATGCCTGATTTAGACCCTGGGGTTAAAATGTCATTGATTTAAAGCAATCTGTCAGTGGTTTTGGGTATTAGTGAGTAGCATAGGCAATTGCTTCTGCATTCAGCCAGTGAGGCTTGTTTGCAAGGTCTGAAAAAGATCTTGTATATCAAGTACTAACCCACAGTTAAGGAAAATAAGCATTGAGCGTCCTGTCTACAGGGGGACTTACACAGCTGGCCATTTAGGAACAAAGAGCCAAAATACACCCCATTTACTGTGGAACAGAAAGAGGTCTTCCCGCTTTGTTCCAAAGGGAGGGAGTGGGATAGGATCCGTTAGAGCAAGCATTCAGTTCTCTATCTTAGGAAATACACAGGAGAACAATCTTGATTTGAGAATAACTCCTTTATCCCTCCTGAAATTGCCTGAGAATTTAATTTTTAAAACTCGAACGTTTCCTATGAAAAGCTGAAGCAAATCTCAGGCTCACATTATTCAGATTTGTTGAGGCAATTTCGTGATGAAATGACCCTTCTCTGTAGAGTAGAAATCACTGCAGGCACTGTAATTATAGCTCCTGCAAGCTTAAAAATCTTGATTTAAATTTCAATTCTTTACAGGAAAGATTTGCTTTTGAAACGTAATTGCTCTCTAAACGATTTCCTTTAAGCCAAGGGTGACATCTCTAAATACATTATTATGAGTAGATATATTGTTCTGTTCATTCAGTTCATTATGTCCCCCACGCTCTGCTTGTATATGGTTTTAAGATTCTGCCACTAAATTAACAGAATTGAAAAATAGATGCATATTAATTTATTTCTAGAGCAGACGGCAGCCTGTTTGGATGACTTTTAAAATTTAATGCAAGACAAGAATTTCCTGTTATATATCTGGATCTTTACCGATAGCACAGTGGTCTATCAAAGACCACAAAGTAGGACTGTAAAATGTTTGCAGGTCAATAACATTTGTGTATTTCATACATGCCTAGAATAAAGATGAAAAATGACATTTCATCCTGTTATGAATCCCATTCCATTTTTTTGCTAACAGCTTTTTAGAAGAGAGGCAGACTAATATCTGGCTAACATCAGCCCTGGCCTTGTCTTACTCAACTGTTGAGTATGCCTGCCCTGTTTGGCACAATTCTGTCCATGCGAAGCAGATGAATATAGGACTGAACAAAACATGTAGAATAATCACAGGATGTCTCAAACCTACACCTGTTCATAGACTCTCTAAGCTAGCTAGCACTGCCCCCCCCCCCCATGTGAAAGAAATAAGGTTGAACACTGTGAAAGCCATCCACTATCAGCCTTCTCCCAGTAGACTCAAATCAAGCAAAAGCTTCATGAGAACCACCACAACCCTTAATGTTCCCCCAGCAACAGCAAGAATATCCTCCTGAGGAGCTAAACCAGGAAATCCCAATTGGATGGCCCCCATGAAGGCCTGCCTCCAGGGGCAAACTAAAACTGGGCAACTTGAAAGTCCCTGAACAGACTCAGAAGTTGAGTGGGCAGATCAAAAGACAACTTGGCAAAACCTAGAAGAATCCTCCACCTTGTGCAACTGTGGAGCAGAACAAACAAATCCGCATCTTTATGCTTGCCCACCATGCCCTTCCTCATGCACAGAGGAATAACTGTTTAAAGCTACAGACAATGTGATCACCATTGCCCATTTTCAATCTAAA